TGTGGTCATTTTCGGCGATTTGCATACGTTGTATTTGAACGAAAACCCTCCTAGGGAATTTATCAGATCAACTTTAAATTTTATCAGCGCAATCTAAAGACATTCATGATTAAAAGTTGTGCTATTTACGACATTCCGTTGAACGGCGTTGTGGCGTGGCGTCCAATTTTGACGATTCGCCATGAAAAAGGAAGCTGTCATAACTTCAGTGTACATGGTCCAAGCTCAATGACACTTCACATGTTTCATAAGAGTCCTGCCCTAAACACGTCTACAGTCAGTAAAGTCTCTAAACTACTTTTTAACCAGACAGTGGTCCAACCTCCTCAACTGCCATCCATTGTGATTTAGCCTGACAGGAAAGATACTCTGTGGTGGTAGTGGGATTTTATAACTGAACTATGAGCAGGACGCATACTTTTACTTTTTCTGACTATGTGGAAATCACATTTTTTCACCATAACAAATGACGAAGAAAGGCATTCAAATGTGAGGTACGCTAAAACATGATACTCATGTAGCCGCATTTCTACCACAGGGACAACAAATAGTAAAATTTTACACTGGCAAAACTCAGTCGGGTAGAGTCCTAGTAATATGTATTGCCTGATTGTAGGTGCCTTCAGATGTTCTTTCCATCCAAACACTACAGCAAATTGCCTTACCATACTAGGTGTTTTATTGCTCTGCATCAACCTGTGCCATTCAATTTGTTTTCCCATCTGATCATCTATAAACACAAAGTGGTATTGATTGTGTCATTTATCTCTTAAGGGACTGTGGCAGTGTACAAGGCACTTGTGAGGATGAAGCTTCCATTATGTATGCCTGGGCTCAGAATGCACCACCCACTAAATTACCAAAAGGTATGTCTCTCAAAGGGTTGGTTTACAATTACTAAAAATAAAATTTATTTACTGACCTCAACTTTTACCTAGCCATGTGGAGAGTTTTGAAATCTTTTGAGATTTTTGCCACCCAACCAATACAATGGAGGTACATTTAATTTATTTTATGATGCTTATATTATTCAAAAATAGCATGTCTTTCCTGAAGCAGTGTCCATGTTACTCTGTATAATCCACAGACATCACTGCTTACTGTTTTTAAAATGATTATTTCTTGAGTAAAAAGTACTGAAAATGCATGAGGTGAATACAGATCATGAATGGTCAAGTGTTGGTTTTTATATACAGTTAAGCATCTCTCTATATTTTGTCCCTCAGTTGTATATCTCCTTTTGGTTTCATTTCTTTGTCTGACGTCCGTTAATCTCTTATGGTCTTCTCAGATGTTGGTTTTAAAGTTGGAAGAAATTCCGGAACATCCTACTTTGTGCTGCAGATTCATTATGGAGATGTCAGTGCTTTCAGAGGTGAGTTTTAATGGCAGTTACATACATTTATGTATATTTATGTTCCAAAGATATTATTTATATTATATCAAATCCAGTAAATGACTGGAAAGATAAATAATAATCCAACTACTACAGCAAGAGTTTTCACGGCTTAGTAACATTTTCCCTCAGCTAAATTTAATTTAGTAGGCAACTATGCAGAAGAAAAAAAAGAAATTGAATAGGAAGGTTAACTTGGGTAATGTGGATGGCTAGTTACCCAACTCTCTCTCTCTCTCTCTC